GGTCTTTGAAGCTGGAGTTGATGTGGGTCATGCTACTTTCAGTTGCATTGACCGGCTTCAGTTGTTGAGTGCCAACCTGAGACCTGTGAAAAAGGTCAGTCCAGGTTCGTGCTTGGTAATGGTCCCAAAAGCTTGACCTTCGATTTCCAGTTCCTTTGAGGAAACATGTCTTACATCCCATTGCCCGGAGTTGGTTTAAAGCCGCGATGCCAAATATTCGGAGACGCCTTTGACACAAGTGCTCTGGGATAGTTGTTCACCTGAAGGCTTTTGATTGCTGCGCTTGCAGACACTCAACTGAACCCTACCTTTTTGCTCATGTTCATCACCATGAGCATACGTGTTGAAGTGTTGTGGTGCAAGTTGTTCACAGTGTACAGATACAGTAGTGGGACACCCATATCATGTACTCCCCCACCCTCCTTCCAACAAGGAAGGTGGGAGAAGGTTGCTTCGAAAGCCAAGCGATTTCCAAGTGGTTCCCCTTAGATGAAGGGAAGTGAAGGATTTGTTTTTTCATCGGAGATGGAATTCAAAGCACTTTCAACCGCTTGCTGAACTTTCGCTTTAGATAGCTCTTTGGACCCAGCAGGAGTGCTCTTCAAGTCCTTGGAACTCGAGACTTCCAGTTCCATGCCGACCAGAGCTAAAGTTGCATGCCGGGCCGGGTACCCTACTTTCAGATAACACAAAGATACCGAGCCCGTTGTGACTGCAAAACGATCTGAGCCAGCTGAAGAGCGGAGTTTGGAACCGATGTCTCAGGCCAGGGTTTGTTACTGTGTATCGTGGTTCAGCGTGTCTAATTTAGTAAACCTGGCGCAGAGGATGCAAATGCAGTACATGCATACATATCACCACATTCTGCAGGTTGGACTGTCCTGTTGGATGCAGGCATGATAGCCCCTAGCATGAGTACATTTTTCAAGTTCATGACATGACTGAGCTGCGTTTCCGTACCATGATGGGCACTAAGCTTCTTGAAGAACAACATGAGCTGAACAACTATAGATTGATAATAATATACAGGTTTTGGACAGTGCCATGCATGATTTTTCGTATGTATGCATGTCAATTTGAGGCTTCTCGCTTTGGGGTGTTTTGAACAGAGCAAGATCAATTTGGGTTTCCCCCATTTTAAGACAACCCCGTACTTGTCTCCAAGTAGGGCTAGCACTATGCGTGGTTTCCGGTTTGCACTTTGGCTTCCAAAATCCAATATACAACCAAAGAACACCCAAAATCGAAAATAGATCCCCCCGGATGAAATTCCAAGCCAACCCCAAATCAAAGCGCAAAATCCAGCTGCAATCCCATACGTGACGTGCAGGCAGAGCACAGCACGCTGGCGCCCGTTGCGGCGGCGGCTCTGCCGCTGGCACTTGTGGCGCCCACCCACCTCTATGCGGGGGGCCGAGGTGCTTGACAGAATGTTCCAGCTAGGCATTTTGGTCCCTGATGTGGAGAAGTCCACCATGACCTACCGGGAAGCCCAGCAGCCTCATTTTATTTTTCTCTTTGACAGGGGGTTTCCGCCATTTCGAGAAACCCACTAAACATGGACCAGAATCAAACGTATCGTTTGTAGTTGGCAAACGCCGAGGAAGAAGTGGTACGCTTAAGGAGGCAGGGTCATTACATTTCTTGCTAGTGGTCAGTGAGCCTGGCTATAACCTATTTGCCATGAACATGGACTAAGATAGCTTTCTTTTTGGGAACCAAGATGGAGGTCTGGGTTGGAAAGACGCAGCTGCGGCTCGTGCAAAAGGGCGCAAGGAAGCTAGCTGACGGCCTTGAGCCCCATGGCTTGTCGCTTGGGGGGTGGGTTGGCTGTGGATGGAGTGGTTGGGGGGGGCAGTGGCTTGGTGCATTGTTCTTTTCTGTCATAGGCTGCTGTAAAACGCCATGATATGTTTGATACTTTCCCGCGTTTCTTCTGGATGAGTCTCCGAATCAGACGAAAGCCAACTTGACAGTGGTTAAGTTCAGAGGAGCCGCCTTTGCCCCATGTAATTAGCGAGGTACTTGAAGTTCCTCCTTTGACAACATGTATTTGCAGGGTCGAGGGTCGGCTTTGTGTGCTACCCAGGTGCTGAATCGCTCCTATGGCAGGCAGGCGGAGCATCGTTGCCAAAAGGGTGCCTTTTGCAAAGGCCCCGTTAATTGTGTTTGTACAGGATCTTGGTGGTTCTTTGGCTTGGCGTTAGTTGCTTAGCCTTTTGGAACATCTTTCTTCCCCACTAGCAAACAAAATAACTTTTAGCAGATAGTCTCTTTGACCAAACGCTGGTTGTGAATCTGAAGTTGTGCTCCCCAAACAGGCGAATCTGAAGCTCCTCGGAACATTTCGTAAGCAACAACGTCGTCATGGGCCTTTGCGGCACATCTTTGGTGAGAGCCTAAGGAGAGGCATTGGGTGACGTATTCGACATGATCAAACTGGCCCCCAGGACAGCAGGCGATGTGCGTGATCGTAGGATGATAAGATCCCAGCCCCTGTAAGTTCCCTCCTATTTGGGGAAGGGCTTATTGGCCGGTGCTTATGGAGGGTTATGGAGGTTGGGCTGATGGAGGGATTGATCTTTCGAGTTGTCAGGCACTCTTTGGTGATTATGTCTCCCAGTATGAGCGCTTCGGCGCTGCTGTGCAACGTGATCACTGGATACCTCCTCTACGGAGAGGCGTGGGCGTTCTGTTGAAATCACACCAGGGCACGGTTTTTGCTCAGAGCGGTTTCCTATTTTGGGTTTTCTGGGAAAGCTTGGGTGAACTCTTGGAATTCCTGGTCCTTTCCCCCTTCTCAAAAACAAATAATACTGGTTCCTCGAATAAATTCTTATGTCCCATGTTCCAGAGTCCTCGTTTGGGAAGTACAAACAATGACTTTCAAATTGAGACTTGAACTCTTGCCGGCTTCAGGTCCCCATGGACGCTTTGCAGTTCGGATCTGGAATCGCTCTGATTTGCCTGGGGGTATTCTTCCTCATCAAGCGAACCAAGTCCTTAGTGGCGGTGAAGTGAGTTTATGGCCGAGTACAGTTGGGTGATTTGGATGGCACAAATCCACAAATCCCCAGTGGTTTAGTCTTTCCCTTTATCTACCCAATGGAATTCCATCGTGGTCTAAGCATTCCGTGTAAGAACTTGTGCCATTTACGAAATCACCCTGGTGTACCTTGCCGCTTCGATCCAAGTCGAGAATAGCTAGGTAGGCCGAATGGAGGCTCCAACCGTTGCGGGAGTCCTTATTGTCGCTTGGTGATGTCAGTGATTTCTGGTAACTTAAGGTGATTCCATGGCCACTGGTCTGCGTTGAAAGAAGGGTCACCATCATGTCCTCAATCACTTTGACCTCAGGCAGTCACGCAGTTATTGCGGCGCTCTGGGTGCGCTGAACAACGTGTTGTTTCAATTTCCACCAGGGCAAGCAACAGGAGGCGGGTCATCCGTCAAGGTTTCTGGACCCCCAGTTTTGCAGGCAGTCCTGAGGTCCTGTGCTGATAACCTGTGATTGCAGTGAAACCCTTCGGCATGTGGAGTGCTTTGGCGCTGTGTGCCACGCCATTCCCTCTCCTTGCTTTGTCTCGTGTTCTGAGCAATCCTGTGTAGAACTCCAAAGCACTGAATGGCATGTCACTACGCCCATCAAAATTATGTGGACCTTCAACGAAGTCTCGCAACCACGACTTGGCGGCTGCCGCAAAAGATGCAAGGCGGACAAAATGGCTGCGTCTCAAATTCGGGACTTCTCGTTTGGCTGATTCGGGGAACGCCAACAGCGGAACAGCGGACATGTGTTCTTCACGACTTGGTGCTGTGTTTTGGCGTTCCTTCCTCATGTACAGTACGTGAACTGGTCCGTCGGAGACCATGCGTAACCTTGATCTTCCAGGACCCTCAAAAGACCACTTGCCTTGACCACTTGCCTTTGGTTGGATCTGATAGCAAGAAAGAGGCTCAAACAGGAACCTGTGTCTTAGAGTCCTTGGAAGACCAAGAAGAGTGATTGCCTGCCGGCACACTGTTAATGCTGACGTCGACTCTCAAAAAGATTCATTTCGCATTCGCAGGCGCTGCTTGCCGCGGCAAAGTTGGTTTCAACGAGCAGCAGGTTGATGTTTGGTTATCACTTCCCTATATTGCTCCTTTTCTGCCTGATGTGAACATCACTTGTGTGTGCAATGTTCAAGTTTGCCCGAGGTAGACTTATTCTCAGGGTTTGGTCATTGACCAAGAAGGACACTACCTGAAGTTAATTCTGCCTTGGGATGGTAGTCAAAACATGTAGACGAGCAGCCCCTGGTCTCTTGTGACGGGAAAGCAGCATTAAACACCTCTTTGCACAGCCACCTTGCCATGTGAGACACAAGTTCAGCTCAGCGAGCGAAACAACTCCACTTCTATCCAGAAACCACCTTGGGATTGATGTTGCTGGAGTACAGCACTATTTGCTCAGCGGAGTTACTGAAGTTTATGACGACTGGCTTATGTGGGGGGTGATGGGTTTGTTGCTTGGTGCTTGGGACATCCGGATTTGGGAAGTGGCGAAGTGGGCGCAGTGTGGGACGCCTTTCATAGGGTTCTGGCCTGGAGGCCAAGCTCGTGCAGAAGCGTTGGGGTCCTTTCCGGTTTTCTTCAAATGCCGTCCAGACGGTGCCCAGATGGGTTGACAGTGGCACCAAACGAAGGCGGTTGGGGTCACTGCCAAGGGTCGCTTTGTAGCACACAGGCCTCTTTCCCCTCCATCAGCGTTGATCAATTCTGCCAAGCACGCGGTTGCCGACGGTGTGCTTTAAGCAACTTGCATTCGTGCCTTGTTTAAGATAGGGAGCCCCTTTCCGGATGTTCTGTTTTCGTTTGTTGAAAGGACGCAGAGGTAAACCTGTTTTGTGATGGTTTGTTTGTTCAAGCCGGGTGGTTTGACTTGTGCTTCCCTTCTTATAGGAAGGAAATAATTTCGCAACCCGCAGCAACATGTGTTTCTTGGTGCGGTAGCCCAGGCCTTGCTTCTTCTTTCTCTGGTGCAGGCAGATCTGAGCGATCGGTGAGCGTCCGAGTGGCATTCGGACCTCGCACCTCGCCATGCATATTTTTTACTTTTAGTTGGGAATCAACTTGTTTGGGAATGAACCGGATGGGGGTTACTAGGAAACCACTCGGGATGGTTTTCCCGGGTCATTCCCTCATTCCCCTGCCCGCAAAGTTCACGTCACAAATCCCCATGGGTTCATTCAACATACCCACCTCCCCATTACGGAGCTCGGGACTTGTTTGTTTGTTAACCATGCCTTGGATCAGGAGCCGTGGGTTCGAAGAGTTCGGTTCCTGGAAGGTTGAGGAATTGTTGCTTTCTGGCCGTTCGCTGGCAAGGCGAATGGCCGTTCGCGGGTTCGTAGCTGGCTGGGTGAAGCGAGACAGTCAGTTGGATTCCAGTTAGTTCGGTTCGATTCAGTTTGGTTCTAATCAGTTGGAATTCAATCAGTTTGGTTCCGATCAAGCTGATTCCAACCTGTTGAATTCCAATTTCAGTTCGATTCCAATCAGTGTGGTTCCCATCAGTTTGATCTCAATGAGTTTGGCTCCACCCAGTTTGGTTCCATTCGGATTGATTCCTACAAGTTGGATTCCCAAAAGTTTGGCTACAAGCTTGTTCTTCCAATCCGCTCGGTACCAGCGCAGTCCGTCGATTTATCCGAGTCTTGTGGTTTGAGGGCTCCGAAGCCAGGCCGAAGCCTCGCTCGATGCGCAGGCGGTCCGATTTCCATTTCGGCCTTAGGTTTGACGAAGCGTTTCGGGGAGTTAAAATCAGACAGCCACCATGACGCACATGGGATCTTTGCACTTTCACCATGACACATGTATTGTGTTCTGCATATGGGCGGTTCCTGAAAAGGAGACGGCTCCACAAATCATCGTTTTCGGGTTGTAATTATGTAAGCTGAGAGAGAGTGCACAAAAAGGGCCCGAAGCACTCCGGAGTTGTTGATGTATGCAAAGAAGGCATACCTTTCATTAAGTCGTTCTTCGGACAAACCGATTAGTAGAGTGTGCTCGGACTGCAGGTTCGCCTGTTGGTTGCCTTCTTTGTCTCTTCTGTATCTTTCTTTCCCCCTCTCTGTCTCTCCTTCTCTCTCTCCTTCTCTCTCTCTCTCTCTCTCTCTCTTCCCCTCTCTCTCTCTCTCTCTCTCCTTCTCTCTCTCCCCCTCTCCCTCTCCCTCTCCCTCTCTCTCTCTCTCTCTCTCTCTCTCTCTCTCTCTGCTTTCTCTCTGGAACCCTGCGAAAGACGGTCGTGGACTTGCAGTCATGTACTTTTCTCCCTGTGCAAGTACCCCCCGGACACCGCATATCACACGTATCTGGGCAAATGATCATGACATCACATTTCGGGGGTTTACGCTGCCACGAAAGGTGTCCTTATTTTCGGCTGGTGAATTTAATTGCGCAGGTGAAACGTGCAGAGGAAAGCCCTTTTAAGGATCCATTTGTTGGGGTCGATTGGCCCCTCGGCTTCAGGGTCTCCGGATAAAGGCTGGGGATATCTTGGGGAGCGCGGGGTTGCCGCCGGACACTTTCGTGATTTGCAAAAACCCTCTTGTCAGAAGCAAAGGTCAGAGCTGCTCATCAAGTAGTGCAAAGGAAAGCGCGGTGAAAGACGGCCAAGGTGCTTGGTTCCCGGCTCAACAGCCAGATGGCCAGCAACTCGCGGGTTTAACAGAGTACCTCTGGCAGGGCCGGGCGCCCATGGAGGTCGCCTCTGTCCATTCACCTAGCTTGGCGTTCACTGTTTGCTCGCGGGGGGGGTGCCAAAAGCATGCGCCCCTTTTAAAAGGGGCCCTGGACCCTACCTGTTTCCCAACAGCGGAAGTGAACAGGACGGGTTTGGAAGACTACCATCCGCAGTCCTCTTAAACTGGCCCTTGTTCACTTCCATTGGAAATGGGGTACTCATGCTCTTACCTGGAACATAACGGCATGGGGTGTTTGTTTTGAGGGTACCCTTTTCAGGCGGTCCAAATTTCGATTTTCGAAAGGCATATTGGTCCGTTTGCCAGGCCTATGCTGATGTCCTTTCGCAGCCCACCGAGGAGAAAGAGGTGGGGCAGCGATTTGGTGGCGGTTTCTGGGAATCGGTTTCTTTGTGGTTCCCCTTTGAATCCCAACCGAAACGGGGGCCACCCATTGGGGAAAAAACTTCTAGGTGGACCTGTGCTCTCCTGCACTCTTTTCGCGTAGCGTTGTTGTTGTTTTTTTTACACAAAAGGCGTCAACGCTCCTTGCCATGGTTCTTGCTTCTTTCGCGTTCCCTTGGGGATTCATTGCACTGGTCTCATTGGAGTTTGTTTCTACAATATTCACATCTTCACATACCTCCCGAGGAAATTGCGGTTGAGAGTACTTTCCATCCCTGCCCGTCAATCGGGTTCTCGCACATAAATGTAACTGCGAATCGGAGATAGGAATCTACACCTGTGGCAACTTCATCCCGAGAAGGCAGGTTCCCTTCTCCTATGGCCCAAGTCCTGGCTCACCAAGTCGCTAGACCCCCGCCCCGGATAGAATCACCCAACAGCCTCCCATGTTGTTTGGGTTTCTGACGTTTCCAGCCAAAGAGGGAATGTTGACCCCATATTAATCAACCCAGTCAATCAATATGTGTCCCTGGGTTCAGTGGGGAATCATGACTTTTGGAGGGGAACACCCCCCCTATGAATAAACCAGGGTTGATTGATATGGGGTCAACATTGGTCCGATACGTTCGCTCGGCGGAAACTGCTTGCGTCCCCGCAAGGCTTTCGTGGAGGGAGTGGTGACCAAGACCTTGCATGGCTTCGTGCTGAGCCGGGCACCTCAAATTTCAGAATGAATTTTCACTGGGGACCCCTTTGGTGGACAAACGTCCAACCACCGATTTTTGGTGATGTCCACCAACCACTTTTGAGGTTTCCTATTAAGATTCATGGCCATATGCACGATGTTTAGGGCCCGCGAATGGCAACCCTGCGTTGATTTCGATGCGCAACTTATTGAGGGGCGATCAGGATCACTTTGGATGGGGAGAAGACGCCAAATGGATCCGCCTGCAGCGTGAAATGGATCCGCCAAGCTTAGCTTCTGAACCGAAGGTCAACGGGCATGCCCCGTTCTATTGGAGTTGTAACTTGTGGGTGATTTGAGAGCTTGTTTCTTTAGCGTTGGTGGCCGCCAAAAGCTCTCAAGCATTTCTTACTGTTTCTGACGGGTGTTTCAGCTTGTTGCTTGTTTGACTGTGTGCATATTTGGCGGGTGGATGAAAAGAACACCAATTTGTTGCCCAATAGATCAAGTTTTTGGAAGCACGGGCACAACCTCACACCGAAAGCAGTACCAAAGGAGCCCCCGATGTTTACATCCGCCGTCCCAGCCATGAGTTTATGGCAAATGGCACGACTTGAGCCTGCATATGAGCAGATCAAATCAATGGTAGCGGTTTCTTAGCTTGGGGAGGACAGGGAACAACACCAAACGCAGATTGTCTGTGGGCCATGGGAAACCACGATGCTCACATCAATCAGAATTCAAGAGGCTGTAATGTGATTTGATCGGCCCCTTGAAGCAAGAAGCAGCGGACATGTCCATTTCTCTGGTTCCACCAGAGCAACAAGCGAATCAGAGAGTTTGGCTTGCTTGGCATCGGTGCTTGATTTGGTGTCCGTTGACCCGGGCGACGCCAACTGCACAGATGATCAGAGAGCCCTTAGTGGGGGATAACGGGTTTGGATTTCAGCCAGATTCAGGCAGAAACACCCCGCGAAATTGCCAGGGATTCTCCGTTGAGGGCCGCCACGAATTATGCCGAATTCACCTGAGCAACACAATCTACACAACATGGCATAGTGTTGTGGGATTCCTGGTTTCCTGGGAGTAATTTGCCCGGAAGCTTACAGATTACCACTGACCTGCACAGGGCTAGAAGGAAAGTCTGAGGGTACTTAAAAAGTCCAAATCGCATACCAAACATTTACTACAGAAAGCTTGGGGTGCAAAGGCCACTTCCACAATGCTCCTTCACTGGCTCATCCTCTTTGTAAACCTCGTTGGCCGCGTGTAAGAATGCTTGCAGAAGTTTAGAGTTAAGAGATCCCAGGATCGGGCATTCCTTCCGGGAACATGAACGATTTTGTCAAGACGCCTGCAGGATCAAGCTAGGTGAAATCTGCAGGTTAGCCCTATTGCTTGTGGGTATGTGTTTGATTTTCCCACGTCCCCTCCATGGGCAATGATAGTCTTGCCGGTTAGGGACACAAAGGATGTGACATATTGAGATGGTCATCTCAGCCAATGTCACCAAGTGTTGCCACATATACAAATGTGTGATGGAGAGAACAGTTTCGGACTGCTTCAAACGTATGATGATTTGAAGCCGCAGACCAAGAATCAAGATCTCCAACATTTCAAAGTCAAGATTGTGTTGCCGTCTAGATTCGATGCTTAAGGATTGGTATTGTTGCTGACCGCGGAATGAGCCTGTTCAGAACCCCAACCCAACGAAAGCGCTCGCGACTGAGGCGATTCCAGTCTGCAGGACTTTGCTGAACATGCCGCTCGGCAAACTGTCCACGTCAACGTGTGACCTCAGAGGGTTGGGATCTCGCAATGGGAAAGGCTCCTTCGGGATCCCTCATTTAGGTTGGCTAAGAAAAGACATGCACCGTACCACTGCCCCGCAAAAAGGGCCACGATTTAGTAAAAATGTCATTCATAGATTGGCGTAGATTGAATTGAGAGAGCACCGTTTTGGCAATGAGGGACGACAAAGCAAGCAACATTGTGGTACGTTTCTTGCAAGCCAAAGCTGCAATAACAGATGATTGCAAACGAGCAAGGTAATCGTAGATTGCTGGATTCAGATGCGCTACGACCACAGTTCATAAGCCAGGGCAGCCTTGCACATCAACCAAGGAATCTTCCTTCATAAAGCCGCATTTCTTGCCAGTGTGCCTAAATCAAGCCTTCTCCTGTCCAATGTCTTATGATTGAGCACATTCACGCAAATTGTCCATTGTCCCACAAACCAAGGAGACTGCGCGTTGGAGTGTATGTGTCCAACACGCATTTGTCGGTGGAAAATGGGTTCACATTGAACCCCCCCCATGCTTCGGGTTATTCGGAGGCCCTTCTGGTGACTGCCGAAATATCGCCCATAGCTTGGAACTAGAATTGACTTAGTGTTACAACGCTATGATGTTGCTTGCATGATTGATTCGCTTGCACATTCGTTTTAGGTCATTGAAGCCAGGTGGGCAACCTCAACATTTCTGGCAAGGGGTACTGCTTGTAGTTGGAGAAAGACACACCATTGACAAACCATTGATTTTACATGGATTGTATTTGGGTTATTTGCGCTAAACCAGGGAATCACATGTCTTGCAAGACTAACACATCCCCTTTTCCCGAAGGGAAGGGTGGATCTCACAAACATTTCTGGGTACGGGAAATCATGGGATTGGTTCTGGTTTTTAGGTTTTGCCCACTGGGTTACCACGATTTCTGCAGTTTAAACATCACCCTTGGGGTCGTCTGTTTTTTGTGAGCTTCCTTGAGGGGTGCTTGAGGAAAGCTTGGGACGCTCGAGATGAGCCATTGACCCCAATTGTCCATTGCAAAGGAGACGGGGAAGATGTTTCGCCAGGCGCCGCCAACCTATGACTTGTTGGTGGGCCAGCTGAAGATCCAACCCTGGATCTGTGGTGGTGACACAGGAGGGGGAGAGAAAAACACCCAGGACGAGTATCCAAAAAAACTCCAGGCAAAGCTGGGAAGTCGGGAAACAGCCATGTTGGTTGAAAGGTCTCCAAGCGCTGATTGCATTTGATTACAACGGAGTCGCTGGTAGACCCGGATGGTTCGTATTGTATTCTTTGAGGAGACCCGTTTCACTGAATCTAGCCGTGCTTGAGTCTCTAAGCTTCAGCTTTTAAGAGCTGAGATACCTGGACGAACCCCCGGCCCTCCCACCTGGAAGGGTTCAATTCCCGCTGACCTGCCCCCGCCCCGCACGGTGGCACGAGCATATTCCATAGTCTGGTCCACGTGTTTGCAGCTGGGGAACCTGTCTCTTACGGACCTGGTCCAAGTTTGGGTCTCAATGACTTTCTGGATGTTCGCTTAAGATTGCTATTTAATGGCCTGCGGCCTGGTTCCGCCGCCCCCACACACCTTAGAATTTCGGCCCGGGACGAGAGAAAGCACGCGATATGTAGACAGACACAGACAGACACAAAGACACGCAGACAGACACGCAGCGGGGGGGGGAGGGTCTTCGCGGACACGAAGACAGACGCAGATGCGCAGGCAGACGCAGACAGAGCCAGACAGACACAAATACACAAACAGACACGCGGGGGGGGGGGGACACGAAGAAAGACGCAGATACGTAGACAGACACAGACAGACACAGACAGACACAAAGAGACAGAGACAGACACGCAAGGGGTCTTCGCGGACACGAAGACAGACGCAGACAGACCCAGACAGACACAAAGAGTGACAGACAGACACGCAGGGGCAGGGGGGGTCTTCGCGGACACGAAGACAGATGCAGATACGTAGACAGACATAGACAGACACAGGGGGGGGCGGAGGGGTGGGGGAAGACTACCCGAAGCCTAGGGAAGAAGCCCGGACACAGGACACGCGCGTTGTTTGGTCCCGAAACAGTATCGGAAGACTAGGAGAAGAAGCCGGAAGATTACGATTGCGGAAATTTACGGGAAGAAGCTTGAAAGATTTCGGAAGACTACGGGAAGAAGCCGGAAGACTACGGAAGACTACGGAAGACTACGGGAAGAAGCCGGAAGACTACGAAAGACTACTGGAAGAAGCCGAAAGATTACGGAAGATTACGGGAAGAAGGCGGAAGACCACGGAAGACTACGGGAAGAAGCCGGAAGACTACGGAAGACTACGGGAAGAAGCCGACAGATTACGGAAGATTACTGGGAGAAGCCGGAAGATTACGGAAGACCACGGGAAGAAGCCGGGGAAGAGGGGGAGGGGGGGGGGAGGGGGGGAGGGGGGGGGAGGGGTGGGGAAAGGGGGGAAGGGGGAAATCCAGAAATCCCAGAAATCCAGAAATCCAGAAATCCAGCCGACGTAGAAACCAGCCCCAAGGGCCGCCCCAAGGGACTTATAGGTTATATATATATATATCTACATAATCATATTCACATTAAACTTATAGAAAGCATATCAACAAAAGCAACACAGAACACACCGCCCCCATGCCGAAAGCATGGTCCATTCTGGACCAGGCATGGGGTCGGCGGATTCATGCCGTGGGCGTGCGAGCACAATGCGTGTGCTATGCAGGCTTTTGCAGAAGGCAACAGACGGGCACAGCGTTCAACTGCAAACACTTCCCCCTGTGAACACACATACACTCAGGCGCACACAGGATTAATTCGGAGCACACCGTATAGTCAGAGGAGCCCGCCTAAAATCGATCATGTCGTTACTAAAAGAGGAACCACCCCTGATTAGCACGGTCCTCCGGATGAATCCGAAGTCAACACGAATGTGTCAAGGCAGCGGGTCGCCTGCGAAGGCTTTTATTGGAAAGCTGTGGCCCCTCTGAGGTTGCCAGTCAGGTCCAGCCATTCAGCAAACGAAGGAATACCGGAGCTGTCTCACAAAGAAACCACAGGGTTCCTAGGAAGGGGGTTGTTCTACATAGAAATCGCTGGTCGTTGATGGGAGCCTTCCTGGCCTTAAAAGCGGTACAACAGAACATACCAGCTTGGGTTGGCCGAAAGCTTGTTTCCCGTCTTTTCAAAGTTCAAATCAGTTTCTGGGGACTTAGCCGAAGCCACAAGAGAGTGGATATATACGTGTTCCTCGTGTTTCCAGACCACCAAGTCACAGGTATCCGTATATTTTCAGATGAAGTTTTCCAGGGATGAAGGCACCTCTCAACTTTTCCGGGGATTTGTGTTCATCCCCAGTGGGTGCATAGCTCGTATTTGACTTACCAAAGGAACATCCACAGACGGCTAATCGCCATGAATGACTCCGTTCGTTTTTGGAGCAGGATTAGAGATACAGCAGAAACGTCTCAGGCTATTTGAGAGGCTAACGTAGGCCAAACAGCTGTAAAGTATTTTCACTTCCCAAGGCGCCTTGGGAGTTTTAAGGGGTAAGCTAATTTGTTGGTTTTGTTCCAGAGCCCCTTCGCACTCAGCACCTGGGTTTCCCATTGGCCAGGACGGTTGTGCTCTGCACCGGCCACCGCGCCGCTGAACGCCCAGGGATGGCAGGGCGCCACTCGACGCAGAGAACGGCTTTGGTCGGCCGCTGTTTGGACCCACACTTGGACGAGTTGACATGCGGAATGACTCTGCGCCCAGTTCGAAAGCTAGACATTTACCCGAGAATTGTGAAAGATTGGGTCGTGCCACTGTGCCGGGCACGGAACTGGCATATATTTGCCCAGGTGTTTTGCCAAGTCGTTGAGATCATGCTGCGACGCATGCACCTTATACGGTTGCAGTACGATGTTCAGTTCGGAGTATGCGGTAACAAGGCATCCAGGGACCTAGGGACGCTTGCCCAAAATCGCCAGCGCGTTCTCCCGGTGCTGCGAGAGCTGGTCCTGCATCATGGAACCAATAAGCGGAAGGAATATCCCCACTGCCCGCCGGGACCGCCCAAGCCAAGGATTGGCTAACACCTTAGAGGCCCATGAAACAGACACTTTTCACCTGCTTGAAATGACATTAGCCAGGTGATTGGCTAGGAAGCGATCAAGTTGCTATTGAGTAAGTAAGTCAGCTATCGAGTCAGTGAGTCAGTGAGTAAGTGAGTCAGGGAGTCAGGGAGTCAGGGAGTCAGGGAGTCAGGGAGTCAGGAGGGAGTGAGTGAGTGAGTGAGTGAGTGAGTGAATGAGTCAGTCAGTCAGTCAGTCAGTCAGTCAGTCAGGCAGTCAGTCAGTCAGTCACTCAGTCAGTCAGTCAGTCAGTCAGTCAGTCAGCCAGGTAGTTTTTTTTCAGTCAGTTGGTGAGTCAGTCAGTCACTTAGTCACTTAGTCACTTGTTGAATTAGTTGGTTGGCCTGTGGGTTGGGCAGCTAGACCGTTACTTTGCTGGCCAGCTAGCAAGTCGGTGGCTAGTTCCGGAGTTTGGCAGTTAGCTAGTTGGTTGGTTATATAGTTGATGAGTTAGGTGCTGAGTTCCTGAGGTTTCCAGGTACTGAGGTACTGAGCTACTGAGTTAGTTGCTGAGGTATGTAAAGCTGTTATTTTGTTAGTCAGCTAGTTGGTTGGTTAGCTAGCTAGTTAGTTACCAGTTAGTAAATTCATTTGTGTGTGTTTTAGTTACTTAGTTTGTTGTTTGGTTTGTCGGTTGGTTGATTGGTTGTTTGGTTAGGTTATTTGGTTGGTTTGTTAATTCAATGTTTGGCTGCTGATCCCATGTTCAAAAGGCAGAGGGGAAGTGAGAGGGTGGTGTGTTTCTGTCCTTTGCTTAAACCATTATGAAAGGTGTGCCACTTGTTTTGTCCCGATCTGCCCATTTTGAAAGACGCGCTGCACTCCCACCAACATGGAACGTAGTCTTTGTTGTCTTAGTCTTCAAGTGGGCCAAGCCATGGGGACACATGCTTGCCGGGAGGGCAACTCCCATAACCCCTGTGAATTTTGACAAAAAATCCCCTTCCAACAACGACCCAAAAATCTGCACCGGGTCGTTTGCATATTTCTGCAACACCTCGGCATTTCTCACAAACACCCGATGAGTCGAGGTCTACAGCGACCCGGCCAGCCGGCTCATCTTCGCGCGACGTGTGGCCATGGAGCGCCTGGACAAGGAGGCGAGTGGAGGTCGGGGACGAAATCCCAGACCAGAGGAAACCAGAACGTTTGGTGGCAGGGGAGTCATCATGGGGTTTTTTAGGTGGTGCGAAATGGATTCGTCCAGTGCCAGCTGCTGGTTGGAAGGGAGTCGTTCCTCAGCTGCCAGGCAGCAAATT